TCTTGGAGCCAACAGTCCAAGCCCCGTCCTGCGGAGCAGCCCTGGGTCAAGAGTGCTGAAGGGGTGGCATCCTGGGGCACTGGGGTGTCAGGGAGGCTGTTTCTTGACCTGACGGAGTTACCAAATCGCTGTCATTCACTGGCCTCTGTGCCAAGCACTGGGGACAGAGGTGGAGGCTCTGGAATGAACAAACCCATCCCCCTGACATGGAGCCTTGAAAGCCGAGCACAGTACGATCAGGCAGAGTGAGTGGAAGACATGCGGGGAGCCCCTCCGCCGGATGGAAAGGGAGATATGGGGTGCGGGGCACGTTATGCAGGTCCGAGCACCGAGCAGAGACCTGGGCTGAATGGGGTGACAGAAGACAGACCACAGGGCCAGGGTCGGAGACCCAAGCGGAAGCCTAAGAGCCACTGAAACCCAGCTTAGGTAGTCGCAGGAGGGCGGGGGAGACGGGAGGGAGAGGTGCGGGGCGACCTGGAGAAAGCGGGACAGGCAGCTGAGGGCCTGGGCAGAGGGCAGGAGCAAGATGAAGAGTCAGGGTGACGTGGGCCTCAAGCTGCACCCCTGCTGGTTGGGGAGCAGAGGGCTGGGGGGGCGGCAGGCACTGGGGCACATGAGGAAAGGCAGGAAACAAGATGCAGTCACGAGAGAGGCGGCTCAGCCATCCCCACCCTGACCCCTGCCCAGGCCCGGGAGGTCCCAGGCGTGAAGGTCTTCCGTTCCTCGGCCACCGTGTACTTCGCCAATGCCGAGCTCTACAGTGATGCGCTGAAGCGGAGGGTGAGGCCCGGGTGCCCCAGGGTGTGTCAGAGGGGCCCCCCAGCTCCCCATAGCGCCCATATCCGCTTCCTCGATGTTCGCCTCTAGTGCGGTGTGGACGTTGACCAGCTCATCTCCCGGAAAAAGAAACTGCTCAGAAAACAGGAGTTAAAGCTGAAGCAACTGCAGAAGAAGCTCCAGAAACAGGCAGGGGCCCCTCTGCGCCAGTGGCTCTGCCCTCTGTCCTGCTGCGGACCTCGCCCAGCCTTCCCCTCAGCCTCCCGGTTTCCCAACTTCTCACCCTTGTTCTCTGTCCCTGTTCCTTCCTGATGCACCCAGGGTTCCTGCTTTACTCCCCTGGCAGGTCCTGGCTCTTGGTGGGTTTTATTTTTCTCTCATTTCCTGAGTCACTGACAGTGGGAATCACAGTTTTCTTTCTTTTATGGCTCTTCCCGAAGCTGGGTAAAACCCCAGAGCCTTCAGCTAGTTGGTTCTTGGCCCGCCGACCTGCCCAGAGCCGGGGGGCAACACCAGGCCTGCCTGGAGCAGCCGTGAATATGGCAACTGGGACAACTGTTTTCTGTCCCTCTTCTTTGCTGGCCTAGGGTGCTGCCTCCAAGGGCACTTCTGTTTCCGCCAATGTCAACACCAGTGACGGTGACATTGAGAGCAACAATGTGGAGGGCTCCAAGGCCCAGGTGAGGCCAACAGTGAGAGAAGGGGGGCAGCCGTGGCTGCAGAGATGGGGGGTACCCCAGGTCTTTCCTGTGAGGAAAGCCATGGACCTGCCGCTGTGGGTTCAAGGTGATTGTGCACTGGGATGATGGATCAGATACTCTGGAGAGATCTCTAGTGATAAGCCGTAGAATTCTATGTGTGGCTTTTTGTCTGTGATCTGAGGCCTTGATGAAGAACTTGAGTTTGTAGAGTCCCCAAGGCCCCACCGTCTGTCTCATGGATGGAGGCAAGGGTTTGGGTGTATGCAGAAAAAATATAGGATCGAAGGAGACACCAAGCTCAGTTAGAGACCCAGGTGGGGTGCTGAGTTGTCTGTACGTGCACATGTGTGCATGTGTCCCTTGGCCCCCAACCCACTCGACCCTGGCTGACCTCAGGGTAGGGCACGGTCTCCCAGCGCCCTTCCTTCTTAAGTGTCGCCATTAAGCCTGGACCCAGGAGGTAACAGCGGTATATGTGTCTGTGCGTGCTCTGAGTCTGGGCATCCTCTCCCGTGTGTCCCCATGTGTCCCTCCTGTCTGCATACAGGAGGCTCCCATATCCACGTCCTCCTGCGTCCCCTGCATGCCCCGTCTAAGTTCATATTTACATGCTTGCCCCACCTTCCGACCCTCTGTGTCGCTGCATGTCTGCGCGTAGTCCCTGCCTCACCTCCTCGTGGGCAGTCCTTGCAGGGTGTCTGGCTCCCCAGCAGGTAAGCACAGAGAATGAGCTAGAGGATACGGCAGCCAGTGGTCAAGAAGATGCCAAGGCCCCAGCTGCGTCCACACTGAGGGCCCTGGGCCTGCCTCAGCCGGACTTCCACAGCCTTGTCCTGGACCTGGGTGCCCTCTCCTTCGTGGACACCGTGTGCGTCAAGAGCCTGAAGAATGTAAGGGGCTGGAAGTACCCCTAGAAAGACCCTGGGGGAGGGCGAGCCCCCTCAAGCCTCTGCTTTGACCCCGTAACTAGCTCTAAGAGCCCTCGCAGCGTCTCTAAACTCCCTCTCCGCAGCCCGCCTGAGTCCGCCCTCAGAGCCCCTCGGCCTCCCTCTGAATCTGGCCCCTTTCTCTGCTGCAGATTTTCCGTGACTTCCGGGAGATCGAGGTGGAAGTGTACATGGCTGCCTGCCACAGTGCGTGGGGCGGGGACAGCCGGAGTGGTTCGGGAAGAGGGTTGAACTCTTCTGGCCAGAGTCTTCCAGGAAGCACAAGGAAAAATGTCTTTCTCTGAAACTGGAGATCTCCTGGAAGGCGGGGTCAAGGGTCAAGAGTTACTGGGGTTTAGCTGTAGCCTCTGGGGTGGCATTTGGGGTGACGTGGGTCAGGGCATTTTGCTGGTGAGTGGGGCTGGGGTTCCTGGTGGTTCTTCGAGTCCAGAGACCTATCCTTGCCGACAGCTCCCGTGATCACTCAGCTTGAGGCCGGGCACTTCTTCGACGCATCCATCACTAAGCAGCACCTTTTTGCCTCTGTCCATGATGCCGTCATCTTTGCGCTCCAACAGCCGAGGGCCAACCCAATCGGCCCTGTTTTGGTGAGCTGACCTCTGGCCCACTGAGCTCTTTTGACCTGCTTGTGCCCACACTGACTTCGGCTCCAGGAAGTCCCCACCCGTCCTGATGCCCTTCCAGTGGACCCTTCTGCCTTTAGATGAAGCTGTTCCTGGGCAGGGGTTGCTGTGGGGGGAGGTATGTGCCCTTTGGTGGCTGACGGGAGACTGACTGCCCTCGTCTGCTCACTCAGGTTACCAAACTCTGACCACGCTGCCCGAGACTGCCCACCTCTGGAGGTTGTGACGGGGCACCCATGAGAACCCTCCATCCCTGTACTGCCTCCGGATGTCACCCAGGAGTCCCCTTTGTGCACACAAACACAACTCAGGAATGGAGGTCCTAGGATTCCAAGCTCAGTGCTCTAAGCCCGGGATGGGGCACAGCCAGGTCAAGGGGAGCATGCCTGTTTCCAGCCTCAGGAATAAAGACTAGTTTGCCTAACGCCAGGCTCTGCTGTGGTTTGGTGGGGGTCAGGAGATCCACAGCCCTGACTCTTGACCCTTCTTATGCCCCAAAGTGAGAACTGGAGTCAGAATTCAGGGGGCAAGGCTTGGGGAGGGCAGGGTCGGGCAGGGGGAGTGCAGAGCAGGAGGGGGCACCCAAGTCTGAGTTTCGCTGTAGCCACGTGCAGCCCTTGGCACCTGCGTCTCTGTTTTAAAATACTTGGGATCAGCTGCTTCTTAGGAATGAACTGTTCTCGGACACCTGAGAAAGGACAGGGCAGGCCAGGTGCCAATAGACAGTCCCTGGAGAGTAGCGTGAACACCTGAGCAACCAGCTGAGGAAGCGCAGGTGTTCACAAGTGCCATTGGTCTGCATTAAGAAGTAGCCGCATGACTGATTTACTTGGGGAAATGCCTTTGTAATGAGATCTGAGATTGGCAGGTCAGCCAAGAAGCGTGTGCTAATTTGGCCATAAAACGCCAACACATGGGCATACGGTCCAGTGGGCAGCAGCAGGTGACTGGTGGCACTGGAATCTTCCTGGGCGTTTGGTGTCTCATCAGTAGAGCAAGAACAGTAATAGGACCACCTCCTGGGTTCCTCAGCAGGTATTCAATGAGCACGTGGGTGGAGACTGCCCACCCTCAAATCACTGAGCCACCTCGCTGAGCAAAGGGGTGCTTTTCCCCAGCTCTGTTTCTCTTGCAGTGTGTGTCAATGCCCTGCATTGTGTTTGCCAGTCATCCGTCCTTCCCACATCCCCCAGAACCTCAGCCCGGGAGGTCAGGGCTTTTTGTGTCACGCCATGTCCTGGCACCAGGAATGGTGTCTGGCATTAGCAGTACTTAGCAAATATTGGTTGAGGGAGGTTATGTGCTGGAATGGAAGGCAGACCTCAAATAAGAAATTGCAGCTATTTAGAATAAACAGGGTCACATGAGAGAGAAGGGACTGCGTTGCCCAAGATGGTCATGGGAGGGAAGCTCAGGGAGCAGGTGACGCTTGAACTGAAACTCCAGCTGTGAGAAATGCCTTCCTAGGAGTAAAGGATAGTGCTCCTGGTACAGCAGGTGTGTTCAGGTGGGAGGGGAGACCGAAGCACGCCAGACCTCACAAGCCCTCACAAGCCGAGGTGAGCCTTCAGGCTTTAGAGAGCCAGGGCCCCCGCGTTTTTGAGCGCTCACTCTGCCGCGATGCAAACTGCAGGGTAGGCTGGGCAGAGGGGACCAGTGAACAGCCCTGTGCTGGACAGAAGCATTAGAGGCAGTGGGGTTAGGATTTTAGGGGTTGGATGTTTGGTGCGGAAGACAGCGGAAGGAGGTGCTTCTTCGGCCCTGGGCCCCAAGCCTCCCAGGCCGGGAACTGTACCTTCGTTCGCACCCCCACCCCCACCCCCTACTACATTTTCCGGCCAGGCGGCCCCTCATGAGGGGCCATGGGCCCAGCTGGAACCTGCTGCCACTGGGGGAGGGGCATTTGCCTGTTGCCAGGCACCCAGGTTCCGCCTGGCACTTGAGCAGCCATGCTGTACGCACCATCCTTTCCGCTCTTGCTGCTCTTGCTGGCGATGCCTGCCCCGACCCGTGCGTGGTCACGGCCCCTGTGGTACCAGGTAGGGCTGGACTTACAGCCCTGGGGGTGCCAGCCCAACAGCCTAGATGGTTGCGGAGTCAGCCTGGGCTGTTCCGGCCGCTGGTTAGGCCTGGGGACGAACCGCATCTACCCTGTGGCTGGGGTCACACTCACCACTACTGTGATGCTGGTGATCAGCCGTAAGGTGCTGCAGTGGCGGCGCCCACAGGCCAGTAAGAGTGAGGTGAGCACAGCACTGCTCGGTCCCCCACGGCCTCCTACCTCCGCGTACACCCAGCGAAACTCACACCCTCCAACCACCCCAGGCCTGTGCCCGCCCCACCCATCCTCCTACCCAGCCTTTTGGGCATCCTGCTGCCCCCTCCCACCACTCACACCCATCAGCCCCTGACTTCCTCATGGCCAGCACCCTGCCACCCTCTGCCTCCTTTTAATACTCCTGTTCCTCATCCAGCCCCCACGGGCCCCATGACCGCAGCAGAGTCACTTCCCCTTCCCAGGCCCTTCTCCCTGGCTCTGTTGCTGCCCCTCACCAGACTTCCGGCCCGTCCCTCCACTTTCACTCCTGCCTCTCGGTCCTGTCCTCAGCCTTCGAAGGTCACCACTGACCCCTCTGGATCCTGGAAACGGCGGACCCCGATCTCAGACCGAGCCCTGCTCCTTGGGGTCCTGCACATGCTGGATGCCCTCCTGGTCCAAATCGAGGGCCACCTACAGCATCTGGCCACTCGTCAGCCACTGCAAATAAAGGGGATTCCCACCTAGAGCGGGTGACTCAACATATGCCTTTTTGCCTGGTGGCCAGCCAGGCTGGGGATAGCCCTGGGCTCTGGGCCAGACTTGGGCCTGTATGTTCTCCCAGGCAGGCCTGGACCCTGGACCCTCTTTCTACTCCTAGAGACTCAGCACTTAGGATGAGTGGGCAGGCAGGGCCCAGGCTGCCTCAGACCGCTCCATTGCTCCCCACCAAATGACTCCTTCTCCCTAAAGATCCCACCCTCAAATACAACTGCTCCTCTGGGCTTCTCAGAGGCTCCCAGTGTGGTGGAGAAAACTTGGCCATCAGATCAGGCTGGGATGGTCCAGAGAGGGCTGCCCAGAGGTGACAACCTGGCAGAGTCAGCCAGGCCTCTTGGTTGGGCTTTGAGGCCCAAGCTGGGAGGGGGTGGAGGGGGCGGTTGGAGGGTAAGCTGTGGCCTTCAATTTTGTGCTATCTCAGACATGTGCTCTGGTTCCCGAGTGGCCCTTGCTTCAAGGTGCCCAGAAGTGGAGTGAGGGCTGAACCTCCCCAAAGGGCCATCCCCCGCTTCCTCTCTCCCTTCTGCCATAGGGAATCCAGGTTGAATGGGTCCTGAGGCCTATGCATTTTTAAGGTCTCTGTTTTAGAAAAACAATATAGCATGAATTCAAGAATAGAAACAAGTGAAAATAATGAGAAATCATGCCAAATTACAAATGTTAAACAGTTGACAAATACTACAATGCAAAATCCAAAACAACATTCATGCTGACTTCTTGATACATTACTGTCATACTTTTACATTTTCTGGCTGCTCACTCTTATGGCCTCTACGTAGGATAAGAATTTTGTAATTTGGGGGGAGATATTTTCTATACAGAGAATAGATAATTAATTCAGTCTTCTAATATGGTTGATTGAAATTTATGTTTTAATTATTGGTAGTTTAGAAAACTTATTTCTCTCCTAACTTGTTATTAATGGTGTCACATAAGTGGGCCTGGATTGTTTTCAGTTTGGGGACACTCACCAAATTTTTTTTTCATATGGATGTCATATAATTTGGGAGAATTTTCCACAGATGAGGTCCTGGCTCTACACATTTCAAACCTTGTTTTTCATCCATGGCCCACTGGTTTTCTAGCACTGGGCACGGTGGGGCAGGTGCTAAGTGCAACAGGACCTTGCACTTGTGTCCTGACCAGGAGCGCTGACCTAGCAGGAGGTTTGTTCCTGTCCTAACTCCTGTCCTAACCAGGACAGGAACAAAATGAGCTAACCATGCACAGGGCTGGAACACACCACCTCAATATGTCCCTCTCAACCCAAACCAAGTGTGTCCCTGTGGTGGACTCAGAGATGTGCTGTCCATGTCCCCCTCCCAAGAAAGCCTGCTGCTGCCAGCCCGAGAAGTCAGCTGGCAGACGGGTCTGCCTCGGCTGCGACAGCCCCATCCATCACAGCTAGCTTTCTCCCTCCTCAGGTGCTGATTTTAAAAGACTCCCTGGTAAACATCTTTATCTCCCTCTTGGAGTCTGCTTCCCTGGGAACCCAATCTGGGACAGTCCCCAACTCACTTTCCTCTTGGCTGGACTCCCAAAATGTCACAGCCTCTCCAATATCCCCACATAAAGGGAAGCGGGATAGAGGGGGGTCCTCATGAAAGAGGACACAGGTCCTCATTGGATTCAGCTAGACTATCTCAATTTTGCAGCTTTTCCAAAAATACTTGATCCTATGGAGATTATCGTGGCTCCTCCCAGGGCAGGGAAGTAAAGGGCATTGAAGGTTGACTTTCATCAGCCTCTCAGGTCCACTTCTTTATTCTACGAGGTTTAATGTGCACCTACTGTTTGCTAGCCCCATTGTGGATGCCAGGATCCGCTGATATGCAGAACACTACTGGCTCCTCCCTCATCCACTCACAAGTAGGGGAGGGTGGTGGTGATGGTGGTGAGACAGACTCGAAAAGGCAATCACTCTGCAGAGAGAGCTGTGCTGGCCCAGCCGGGGTGGGGCAGGTACGGGCTGATTGTTGGGACCTGAAGGGTTAATGGAGTGATGAGCAGAGGAGGGGGAGAGTGCTCCAGTTGGAAGGACAAGCACATACAAGGGCCCGGTGGAGGAAGAGACCGTGACCTGTTCCAGGAAACATAAAGTGGTTGGAATTTCAGGGAAAAGAAGGAGGTCTGAAGAACAAAAGGGAGCAGGCTGGGGAGAGGCAGGAATTGGTGACTCCTAGGGAGAGTCTGGTAGGCAGAATAATGGCCCCTCGAGATATCTGTGGAATCTGTGACTATATTACAGTACATGGCTAAAAGGACTCTGTAGATAAAATTAAGGTTAAAGACCTTAAAAAAGGGAGATTATTCCGGATTATTTTCGTGGGCCCAAAATAATCACATGAGCCCTTAAAAGCAGAAGAGGAGTGCATGTTCAAAGTGTGAGAGGTACTCCATCTTCCAAGCTGCCAGCTTTGAAGAGGGTGGACGAGATCTTCCACCATCCAAAGACCCAAGGAATTCAGGTGGCCTCTAGAAGCTGGGGGTGATCTTGGGTGATAGCCAGCAAGAAGACAGGAACCTCAGTCCTGCGACCACTAGGATCTAAATTCTGCCAATGACCTGAATGACCCAGGACACATTCTCCCTTAGAGCCTCCAGAAAGGAACACAGCCCTCCTGATGCCTTGATTTTAGCCCAGTGAGATCCACATTGGACTTGAGGCCTACAGAACTGTGGGATAATAAATTAGTGTTCTAAGCCATTAAATCTTCCGTGGTAATTTGTTATGGCAGCAATAGAAAACATACAGATGTTGGTATCAGGAGTGAGGTACTGCTATAACAAATTTTTTTAAAAATGTGGAAATAGCTTTGGAATTGGGCAGAGCAAAAGCTGGCAAGAAGCATAACCGAAAAAGCAAAAATTGCACTTATGGGGGTTCAGAAGGAGCCACCCCAAGATATACCTCAGTGATATGTGGATTATTTTGAGCTAAAGATTTATCTTGAGCCCTGTGGACTCAAGAAAAGCTTCTCCCCTGCCCCTTATCTATCTAGAGGAATTTGAATGAGGAGCTTTGCCAACAAAAAGAGATTATCATAAATAATCTTTTTTGACCTACCTATATGGCAGGGCAAACTACTGATTACTGAACAAGTGCTCTCTTTGCAATGACCTTCTGAAGTCTCAAGGCGCATTACCTTATCCCTAGCTCAGAATGTCTTATATACCCATTTTCCCTTTCTGTTTTGGAACCTGCATGTGGGATTCCCATACACACGAAATTGAACTTGTCAGTCTGTCTCTTGTCGATCTCTCTGGCCAACCAAAAGAACCCGAG